AACCTGATGCCCCCTCTGCTCCTCCTGGCAATAGCATGGAAGACCCTTGTCAGCTCCAGAGCCCTGGCCCCTCAGGTTGAAGAGGAGGAGGTGCAAGCTGTCTTTACCTAGCAGACCTGTCTGAGCACACCTGCCCCTGTTGCTCATTTTAACAGAAAACTATGTCTTGAACCCCCACCCACCATATGAGATCAACAAGGTAGCTTCATCTCATGGGGGACCCTGAGCAACCTTAGCCCCAAGTCCAGAAGTCGCAGGACTGGGGTCCCTATTCTTTATGTAGCACATGGCACAGGAAGCTGACACCTTCAAGGCCACTTAAGGTGAAGGGCCCTGATGTTTGAGGACAAACATCCTGTTGACACAAACCTAGAGGTGTGAGGGGGTGGCAGGATCAGAATACCTCCCATGAGCTTAGGACGTTAGACTGGGAGGAGCACAAAGTGGGGGAAACAGAATTCGAGCTATTTTTCTTTACTATGTTGTCCTAAAGCTGCCACTGTTAGGTTCCATAGGGGAACCCAGGTTAGACCACTATTGACATTTTGGTTTTAATAAGCAGGTGTCTAACTTTGTAGATTTTCGCATATACTTGTTGAGAAGCTGCAACTCCCTGACTCCCTTAGACTTAGGCTGTCACTTCACCTCATAGAAAGGGATCTCCTGAAGCTGCTGTCATCCCTCGGGACCTCAGGATTCCTCCCCAGGGTAAGGCAGCGAGTCCTATGTACAATGAGTCCTCTTACAAGGTGGCTTCCTCTGCAGCATGGAGCTTCCTGACCTTGGAGCATTGCCAGACACCAAGCATTTTCCCACAGACAGGGGCGGTGAGGGCTCTTCCTGCAGATGCCTTTCGTAAGAGCAGGCTGTGCCTCGGGCCTGAGGGGCCTGCAGCTCTGCTCTCCTCCAGTGAACATGGGGAACCTGATAGATGTGTTAGTGCTAAGTCAGGAGCTTCTTCCCCATGGCACAGTGCAAGATGCTCAGGATGTGCAGTGCAGGGGGAAGATTTGCGACTCCTGCTGGGGTTCCAATCCTGCTCTGCCATTCACCGCCTGGTGATCTCAAGCCAACAACTCATCCTGGCTGAGCCTCAGTCTCCCTATCTGTAGCAGCGCCAGCCTCTCACTGTTACTGCAGTGATTAATGAGTTAGTATAGTTAAAACACTTAAATCATTCCTACCTCAAACCATTTGATAGGTTTTACCTATCACTTTCATTACTGATGTTGGGGATTGAACCCAGGGCCTTACACATGCTAACCATGCATGTGCTCCACCACTGAGCTACACCACCCAGAGATCCTGACTACTGAAGACACACTGGGCAACGAGTGGCCACCGCAGTGAAGGGCTGATGTCAAGTACCCAGACCTAGGTCCAGTTCTCGGCCTTCACCTTCATCTGCTCTGGGACCACAGATATGTTACTCTAGCCACGCTGTGCTAGAGTTACAGCTTGGATCTAGAATGACCCCGAAGGTCACGTGTTCAGACGTGGACCATCTGGAAGGTCACTGGATCGCGAAGGCACTAACTTCATCAGTGGACAAATCCACTGACAGTTTCATAGTCTGATGGACACTTAGGACGTGGGGCCTAGTTGAGAGAACAGGACACGGGGAAGTGACCTCTGAGGACTATGTGGTGCCGGTCCCTTCCTCTCTGGCTTGGTGTCTGTCTGTCTGTCTGTCTTGCTCTCTTTCTCTTCCTGCCTGCCATGAGGCAAGCAGGCTTCCTCTCCACAGCCTTCTACCCTGATGTTTCTACCTCACCGCGGGCCTCTAATCAAAAGCCAGCAGACTGTGCACGGAAACCTTTGAAACCATGAGCTAAAATAAATTTTTCTTTTCAGTGGTTTTTCTCAGGTATTTCATCAAAGTGTGGCGTTAACTAACAGTTTCTACCCATAAAATGGATGGAAAGAACCTCCTCCTCCAGTGTGGATGACCAGGTCACGAGATCTAGACACACAGTAGGAAGTCCAGGGCTCAGCACACCCTAAGCCCAGATAAAGGGTCAGACAGAAAGGCTGTCACTTTAACTGCTGCTGTTGTTCTTATCGTAAACAAGCGATCTGAAGTGACGCAGGAGCTGAGGTCACAGGCTCTCCCTCACTGACACCCCAGGAAAACTTCCCTCCACGGTGACTGCTCAGACCGGGTGAAGTGGGAAGCCTCTCCTCTCCCACAGTCTCACGGGCTTCTCCTCCTTCTTCAGATGTTCACACTCGGCACTCTGCAGCTGCAGGAAGGCACCATGCCCAGCAGCTAGACGAGTGCCGCAGTGCCCACCGCCAGCTCACTCCCTTGATACTCGTTCTCAACACTGCTCCTGCCCTCACGGAGAGGCAGATACTGGATTCTCTAGTCAACCTTGCAATTCAGAGACTGCCATGTGACACAGCTTTGGCCCAGAACAGGAAAGAAGGAGTGTGTTGAAGAGACCTCCAAGTGTCTAAAGACCTAGACTCATGAGGTCTCCTACAGACTACTAGACCCGGGGCCATTTAGTCAGAGGGAATGAGGTTGAAGTCCGTTGGCCACTGGTCTTTTCCATGGAATCCATGCAGAAGCCCACCAATTAGGAATAACGTGTGGAGCTCGCCTGGTTTAAGAGCTTTGTGTGCCCAGGAACCAATATATCTCTTGCAAGCCTTCTCTGGATGTCGCTCTTAGGTCCCCTCCAAGGGATATGTCCTAAGTCACCCACAGTCCTGCCATTCCCAAGGGTTAGAATTCTCTCATCTAGATACAATCTAACAATCAAGCTGACTCTACCATAAGCAATGCTGTGCAGTGACCACTCAGGTCACCTGGGGAAGAGGTTAGCGCAGTTAACAGCAGGTCAAATTCCCATGTAAACAATGCATTTACTCTATCTACAGAAAAGCTTCACTTTCTTAATCTAAATCAGAAGGCAACACAGCTGGCTTGGACCTTTGCTCTTTTTTCTTCTTCCTACGTAGAACAAGAAGCAACGGATGGAGCTACCCAGACACATGTGACAGTGACGTGACAAGCCTGGGAAAGAGGCCAAGTGAAGCAAAATGGTGGTCCTGACATCACAAAGCCACTCTCCACTTCGCCACGTCAGGCATGGACTACCCTGCGTATGCTAATGTTAGGCGGCTATTTTGACACTTGTACCCAAAAGCAGAACTTGCTAATCAAGGTGTTTAACTCAGATATGGCTTTTTTTACTCTAGAGGTTTTCATAATCCTTACAGTGACCTCTTCCTGTTGCTGAATAGGATTTTGGTCAATGGAGTCTTCAGTGAATATAAATTCTCTAAAGTAAAGGGAAGGCCTCCATATTTCAGAGCAATCAAAGGATTTCTCTTCTACAGGAACAACTCTGAATTGGTCTCAGGCTGCCAATCTTGTTTTCATCTGGTTTGGAACAGTCTGAGTTGGTCCAGAGAAACAGATCTCCTAGGATGTCAGGAGGACAAGCCAGTGGCACATTAGAGACCGGCACAGTTTTCAGATTCCTCTCTACCTTCTCTCTGGCAGATAAGAAATTGGTTTAGGAGGCAAAAAGAGTTTCTGTCCAAATCACACCTGCCCTAGATAGTTTGAAGTAGCTCTTTCTAAACAATGTCATGATTCTATGACAGGTGAGCTTCTTAGGTTCACGAGACCTTGTCTCACTGCAGAAGTGGGACTGGAACAAATCACCCTGGCTCTGGACCTCCATGAAGAAAAGGTGCTGCTTAGGAGATGCTGCTCCTGTCAATCAGGGACCCAACCAAATCCAGTGCGGGCAACACAGGAGGAGGTGTCTCTTCCTGCCAATCATTAGGTCCTGGAAAATCACAGCTAGTCGGTTGGTGTGAAATCCTCATAATCTGATGTTTGAATCAGTGAAAGTACACCTCAAACCCACATGTGAACTGCTGAGTAAAACTCACTTGAGCCTATTTGGATTGTCAAAATGGAATCAAGGATTTTTTGAGTTATAAATATTGGTTCTGCAACTATTTCTAAGATGACAATATGTAATGTATCAACTAGAGATTTCTTAGTGTTAATTTGTTTTGAATTCTGTAGTCTTACCTTTTTTTCTATTTTGTTTTTTTCTTTCTTTCTTTAAATAAAAAAAATCGGTTCTGAGAATTCAAAGACAGTTTTTACTTGATTTGAGCAACACTGAACCAGTTATACCAGTAAACATTGGTTTGAACCAGTTATTTCATTGTAAACCAGGTAGAACTGGTTCAGCCAGGGTTAAAACTAGTCCCTTACAAGAGAACTTTGAAGTTATAGCTTCCCTGGCTTGAGTTTTTTACTAGAAAAGAGAAGCAGAGTGAGAAAGGTTTAGAGTCATTTATTGTTGAAGGCTGATTTACTTTGTTCTCATAAATATTCATAAGAATCAATTATCAGCTTATTGAAAGAATTAATAAAATTTACATTGTTTATTACAACATATTAGCAGGGGCAGAAAGCATCCTCCTGGCACAGAGAAAGAGCTCACACAAAGAGCCTCGTTAGCTGTGATGCTGGATCACTGACCGCAACCCAGGGCCTCTGCAGGACCACAAGAAGACAGCTCCATGACCAGCCTAGCAGGTGACCTCCACACCCCCAAAAGTGACACAGAACAGATCAGTCCATTTTATGCAGTATTAACCACCTCACATAAAACGGGAGGATAAAGAGGAAGTAAAAAGTCTTAATAAAAAAAAAAAAGCCTGAATTTAGATGTCTTTACATTCACCCTGATCAAAAGCATTTGATCATAATTAGCTACTTATACAGACGCATTTCAGTCTGTCAATTCGGCCATCAGTGTTATCTGTGAACCAATTAGAACAAAGCAGGCAAATAGGCTGGACCTTCCCTCCCACTCAGTGGGCTTATGCCCACTTAGAAAAAACACATGCTCAAGCACTTTGCTGCACAGGGTCTGTGGGAGAAAAAAAGTCACTAATAAAATCACCATTTGTCTTGACATGCAATGTAACTGCCCCCTAAAATAGAAAATTCAGTCACTTACCAGCCACAAAACTTGGAAATGATGCTACCTTCTTTGTCTGCTGGGAAATAGGAAAAAATGAAACACCAGTTGCAACAGTGGCCTGTGAAAACTAGGCTAAGGTGCAGACTGACATGGGTAAAGCCTAGACCCCTGATTGGCTGGTGTTCCCAAGAACATATAACCAGCAGGTCTCATACAGACAACGAGATACTTAGGACGGGCACAAAACCCCACCAGCTAAACCTAAGTTACCTTCCAGTTAGCTAGTCATGGCCGAGAGACCATCTTTCCAATGGCCCCCGGGATGAGAACGTCATGGGCTTGTCTAAAGCCACAGCTACTTCATCAAAGCCAGGCCATGTCATCTAAAACATGTTACAGGAATCTGGTTACCCCCCCCCTCCTATTTTGGAGGTAAGAGTACATGGGCCCACCTTTATTTTAATAATCTCCATCACAGCACTGTTAACTGTTTGTTAAAACCATGTTGTTGGTTTAAAGCAGTAGTTCTCACCCAGGATGGGTTTTGTTCCAAAGGGGACATTTGTCAATGTCTGGAGACATTTTTGGTTGTCATAACTCAGGGCTGACTCACATAGGCAGAGGGCAAGAATAAAAATAAACACAGAATGCACAGGCTAACTCTCCAAACAATTACCGAGCCCTAAATGTTAATGGTACCATTGTTGACAAATTCAGGTTACAGTATGGTTACTGAACAGTGGTGCGGAGAAATCTGCTATCAAATCAGGGAGCGCTGATAGCCTCTCCCTCACCTGTGCGCTCTGAGCCGCACACCACAAACACTCCACAGTGTGCTTGTGAACCACAAGGACAGGCCCTTTCCTCCCTGCGCTCCTCCACAGCAATACCCAAGTCCACTTGCCCTGGACTCCATCTGCCCAGGTACTGGGTGGGATAAGAGCTTTGTGGAGCTGACCATGAAGGGGCAGGCAACCTCATCAAGAGGACCCTGGCCTAGAACTTGCATCCTTGGAAGAAATTACCTCTGGGATGTTGTTATTGTCCATGGGTCCATTGAGATCAGAACGCTGCTGCTTCCTCGGCTGCTCCAAGCCATTGCAAACCTGGAAACCAAGAAGTAAAATACTGTGTTTTTATGTATCACAGAACTGATCCAGGCACAAAAACTGCACATTTGACATGATTCAGTTTATAAAACACATGTGTGCAAAGGTGTGTGTGTCTGTGTATGTGCATGTGTATATGTTTTATCAAGTTGTTATGTGAATGTCATATTTTTATACTTCCCAGAAGGTTTTTTAAACTCATTTTAAAACTTGATTATTTGTTATTATGTTTAGTTATAACAAAGTGCACAGCATAAAATTCACCACTTGAACCATTTTCAAGGGCACAGTCGAATGGCATAACAAGTGTTCACACTGTTGCGTGCCCATCATAACCCCCCTGTTTAAAGCTGAGACTCTGTACCCATTAGACAGCAATTCCACACTTCTCTCTTTATGTGGCCCCAGCAACCAGCACTCTACCCCTGGCTCTATGAATTTGACTACTCTGCGTCCCTGGGATAATAGCATCACACAGTATTTATCCTTTAGGGATGGGCCTCTTCCATTCTGCATAATGTCTCCAAGTTTCACCTCTCTTATAACATGTGTCAGAAGTCCCTCCCTTCCTGAAGCCTCAGTGATCTTGCACCCCATGTGTGCACCCACTTTGCTTACCCTGCCATCCACCGGTGGACACCTCCTGGATATTGTGACACAGACTGCTACGAACACTAGTGTGAAATTTACTTTTTATTTCGTATTTTTTAATTTTTGAGATGTTTCTTTTGGATACCTACTCACAAGTGGGACCACCAAATCATGTGGTAATTGTGTTTTTACGTTTTTGAGGATTCTCCATGCAGCAACCATTCTTAAGGTTCAAATCATATTTTTAAATACCCAAAATGTTTGGATGCGAATAAATGCAAATTATTCAAACTACTATTACCATGTCTTCTCTTTTAAAAAAGATGAACTATAATTTTCTTTACTTCAAATAACAAAATCTAAGGCCTGGGTATATTTTCTCTGCAATTCCTTATACTACCTGGAGGACAGAAGCAAGATTCATACCACTGTCTCAACACCAGGGCTTTCTGGAAATACACTATCAAGAAGTCACACTACAGTGACAACAACAGTGACACTATGATATTAAGTTGCATGTACACAGTCCGTTAGGGTTCATGAGAGCCTTTCCCATTGGAGATGGCTATTTCCACTCTTGCTTTCAAGGTGAAAAAACTGAGTCTTCAAGCCCCAAGTTGGCTTCTCATAGTGCTTCAGGACACAGCAAGATGCACCCTGTCCCAGACTGTCACTGTCAAGCACCTTGATGGAATCCCATCCCTCTCATGGTTTAGAGAAAAAATACAGAACCTGGGGCTACCTTTCTAACACTGATGGGAAGAAACATGGCACGTGCTGGGCAGGCGGGAGGACTCCTGAAAGGTCCCCTCCATGACCACAGATGCCACTGGGTTTCAGAGGGAGTGAGGCAGAAGAAAGTGGCCTGGGGCAGAAGAAGGGGAATTGGGGGTGGCCTTCAGAGGCCGGCCTTCCTGGACAGGAAGGACATCAGGGACACAACTGACCCAATCAGGCCAGATACTGGTTGCTCCCTGCCCGCTGTGTCCCTCTGCTCGGAGCCTGGATGAGTCCATCTCCTGTTGCTGACAGTGCATGATCACAGACTGGGAAGTTGTAAGGACAACATGTTTATTTCGGGTTGAAGATCTGGAGATACAGAGTCTGCATGGAACCATGGCCTTCTCACTGGAAGAGTTTTAAGACAATACAGGGAATCACAGAGAGCAGATCTGTGTGTCTCTTTGGTTGCTCTGCTCTTCTAAAGTGACTGGTATTCTTTCACGGGGGCTCCACCCTGGTGACTTTATCTATCATTACTTCCTGAGGGCTCCACCTCTGAACACCATGGTTACAGTAAGTTTCCAACCTCAGAATACCACACAGTGAGGATTAAATTCCAACACGGGACAGCCAGCCCAGACTGCACCGGGGAGCCATGACCTTGCCCTGCTGACCCAGTACCTCCTAAGGCTGGCTTGTCTGGGGCTTCTGTACAATCCCAGGCCTTTCAAGGCTCCCATTCCAGGAGGAGAACTCACTGTTCTTAGTGGGAGGGCTGTGGTATAAATTGAGGCTCCACGACAATGGACGCCATGATGGCCAGGCCAAATGGACAGAGCCCTTTCCTTCAGGGATGAACCTGGCCTGAGGACCACTCTCTGCAAGGGTCTGAATAGAGCCAAGTCCCCCCACCCAAAGTGCACCAGGTCAAAGCTCTCAAGGATGCCACCAGGCAGCCTCACCTCAAGGGCAAGTTCACACCTCTTTAATCAGAAGTCTTACTGCGGACACGGCCCAGACATCTCCATGTCATGCTCTCGTGCCATTTCCCGGCGCACTCAGAGCGTATCAGCTTTTACCCTCTCATCTGGAACTTCTCAACCAACAGAGCAAGCCACCCCCAGAGACTTCACTGCCTGAAGTCCTGCTCTGCCTTCCTGGGAGCACTATTCATTCCCAAGAAAACTCCCAAAGAAATTCACTAACCAACCAGTGAAAGCAAGTTAATGACACCCATTCCACAAATGTTACAGCCGGGGATGGGATTTATTTTAGGGAGAGGCCCACAGACTTTGCCCCAGATATGGCAACAGGAGGCTGCGTTCCTGGTGGGGTTAGGGCCAGTCGAGTGATTGCGTCTTGGTTCAATTTCAGAACAGGCTCCGGGCTCACTCAGGGGTCACCAGCTGGATGTCAGCACCTCCACACTCACCCCCTCAACTCCTTAGTGTAGCACTACAGTACAGGGTGTCTGTGGGGGACACGAGGTCTCAGTATCTCCTTGACTGCCTCCATAGTGGGCTCTGCTTATCACCATGACAACCGCATCTCCTGATAAACAGCGGGATGGATTTGGAGAGCGGCTGGAGGGTGAGATTGTGAGGTTTCTCCTTGGGAGAACCCATCTGGTGCTCTGATTTTCATCTTGGGGGATGGGGAGGGAGGCCAGCAGCATGGGACTCATCCTCTGAAAGTCACACAGATCGAGGCCCAGTGGGCGGGGGACTCCCAGGATCTCAAAGATGGGAGTTGAAGACGTTATTTAAATACTCGTGTGCCTTTCCCCAGGTACAGTCATACCTCAAAATTAGATGCTGGCCAGCGTCCTGCACCTCAGGAGGTACCTATTTGGGGTGTGGCCGAGGCCAGAAGCCTAAATCTGTCTCAGCCAGAGAGCGCCGTGGATAAATAAGCGAAATAAATACACTCTTGAGGAAGGAACCTCCACTGTGGAGCTCTCAGGACAGAAAATTGATGTGCAGCATGGCATGGACTGGTTATAACAAGCTGGGACCTGGAGACAGCTGCTGGGGCACAGATAAATGCCTTTAATAAAAGATACTAATGTGAATAAATCGTTCTACTAAATACCTCGACTCCAGTCAGTGCAAACTAATGCTTAGGGTTTTTAATGTGTCAATTCTGATTTTTCTATCTGATTAAACTAAAAACACAGCAGTATCACCTACACTGCATCGGATGAACTAGCAGCAAACCAGTGCACCCACTCAGCTCGCACCATCTGTAAGAAAAGCAGAATGTTTCTGAGAGTTCTCCTGAGCGACAAGCATGTTAGAAGCTCGAGTTGGGGACAGAGAAGAGCTCAGAGCCAGGCAAGCCAGAGTCTCCCCCACTGGACTGCAACACATCCTGCTTAAACAGAAAGTCCCATGGCAGGCTAGTGGCTTGGTTCTGTGACAGCCTTCTCCACGAATCACTTCATGTTCTGTTTTCAACAGAATTGGTCATCCCTACCGTTATGGTTTATGTCTCAGGGACCCCCAAAAGCCTCACAGGTTCATGGCTGATTGAATTCTGGGGCATGACACTCAGCAGTAGATCAGCTCACAGGTGAACTTATAGCTAAGAATGATTTGAGGAGTGAAGCCTGGCTGGAGGAGGTAGGTCATTGGGGGCATGGATTGGGGGCACGGACTGGAATGGTGTATGTATCTCCTCCTTTCCTGACCTCTCTGTCCACTTCCTGGTGCCATGCCACAAGCTATTTCTCTCCTGCCATGCCACCTTCCTGTCTTGGAATCAACTGACTGTGGCCTGGAACCTCCACAAACTGTGAGAAAAGATAAAATTCTCCTCTTCCAGTTTTGAGTATTGTGTCTCAGCAACAAGAAAGTAACTAAGATACCTATTCATCTGATACCTCAACAAAGATTTCTTCCTTCCTCCAACTCGGGAGGGCATGCTGGGATCTGCTGCCCAATGACAGTGGGGACAAATCAAGAGCACAAGCCACCGGTGTCATGTTGAAGGTCCAACTCAGAAGTCCTTGAATCTGTCTCTTGACACATACACGACTCACAAAGAAACTACAATATTGTTCTTTCTCTTCCATCCCTCGTATAATTCAGGTCACTCTTGTGATGTTTATCTTGAGAAAAATTAGAGCTTGAGTAAAGTATTTATTCTTATAATGGTTACTCCCATGGGGGGGTGCTTATCATTTCAAAAAAGAGCTTTGGCTTTAAAATATTATGACAGGACAAAGTAGGGACACCAGCTGGGCAGCCAGTCTGTCCTCTGAAGTCTCTAAGCAGATCTGCGAACAAGATGGGGAGGGAAGGAGAGCCTCCTCCTGTACCCGCATATCAGGTCTTTCATAGGACGCACTTACACTGAAGATAATTCTACCTGAAATACAAGCTTCAGATCCATAGCACAAATGCTGTGCTTTTAATGTCATTGTCTACATCTTGTCTTCTTTTCCTTCTTCCTTTTTCCTTCCTCCTCTTCCACTGCTTCCTCCTTCTCCCTTCTTCTTTCTCCTTCTCGTCCTTCCTCTGTTTTATTTAATTTTTTGTAGTGCTGATGACCAACCCTGGGTCTTACACACGCTAGATAAACACTCCACCTCTGAGGCTCACCCGAGATGCTTCTTCACTATTTTTTAGGTGTACAGCTGAGGAGCATTAGACAGATGTGTAATGTCTGCAACTGTCACCACA